CTCAACGACTTTTTGTAAGTGCTTCAAGTGTTCATCCATGTCATTGCCGAAAATCGGGCATCGAGACAAATAACAACAAATCTGTTGATCTGGTTTCGAAAGACACGGTCCATAAGATTTTAGAAGGTGGCTAGCGCGTTTGTGAGTTCGAAGATATGAGGATGAACTCGTATATTCCATTGTGTGTCTTGAACGTGGTTTTATGCAAGTAAGCCGGATCGACTTCAATCTGATCAGAACCAATTTTTTTGGTCGAACTCAGCGAAGGCCTTGCACTCACATGCAACATCTGAAAGAGTATTGATTTGGGTTAGAGAATATACATTTTTTCTCGTGATCTGGTTTAAACCCTTATAATCGATACCCGTCCGGAGTTTCCTACCCTTCTCAAGGACAAAGGGAGTACAAAATCTTGGCTCGCTTGGTCTGATCCATCCTTGATCAATCATTTCATCAAAATTGTTCTCTTAGTTCCTTAATCTTGGTTTGTCTCATGCGATAGACACAACCCCTATGAGGAACACTTTCCATTACTAAGTAATACTAACCCAATTTTGTACTTGACCAGACGCATGAAAACACCACACAGTTCACCCAAGACATGAGGGGAATCGATCTAGGAGACAAAATATTTGTTGAAATTTTCAATTGAAAAAAATAACAATCAGGCGTAGGAAAAACAGAATGTGAAGTTGCAACGAGAGCAACGAAATTGGACGTAGATGAAGATGATTAGAAACACATGCAGATGAATCAGACGTAAAAGGTTCATGAGCAGGTCTAACAAAGATTATGTACATCTGCTTGTTCACCGCTTTTGTGTCACTTTGTGGAAAATTGCATCGCATTCAATAGTATCTTAAAGGACGCACGTTTCAACCAAAAAGACGGTACGCTCGTTTCTGTAGCGCTAAGTTTGATGAAGCGTGACTCCTCCGAAATCGTTCGTTGACATTGGGTTTGTAACCAGCCCAAGCCAATGACGACCTCGAAAGGACACTCTTTAGTGATGTAGTAATGGAGAGTTTGTGTGGCTGAGCTATCGTCATCAAAGGTAGTGCTCATGTCTTGGACCCCGTGCATGGAACCGACAACCACTTAATTCTTAACCTTGGCTCAGTAGGGGTTTTGCAGTTTCACCTGCTTCATCCGAAGGCCTGCCTTACGGATCCCGTGCAGAGAAAATACTTAGTCATTGAATTCCCAATTAATCAATCAACACGTGGATACAAGTACGGTTAATGAGGAGTTTGAAATAGAAGAGTCTCACTCCCTTTGGGCCTAACCTTCTGTAAACTTGACCTACTACCCAGTTGATAATAGAAGGCGACCTTATTAGACCCTTCATATAGGCCTTAAGGTCGCCTTCCATTATCAACGGTTAATGAGGAGTTTGAAATAGAAGAGTCCCACCCCCTTTGGGCCTAACCTTCCGTAAACTTGACCTACTACCCCAGTTGATAATGGAAGGCGACCTTATTAGACCCTTCATATAGGCCTTAAGGTCGCCGTCCATTATCAACGGCTAATGAGGAGTTTGAAATAGAAGAGTCCCACTCCCTTTGGGCCTAACCTTCCGTAAACTTGACCTACTACCCCAGTTGATAATGGAAGGCGACCTTACTAGACCCCTCCTAAGGCTTTTCATATAGGAGTTTAGGTAGTACAAACTTGGAATCAGCGTCCAACCGGGCCTCAAGGTTAGGGTGCTGATCAGATTCAAGCTACTTAAAACAACCATATACTAATTGCTTACCTTCCTTTGCTGTAGAAAGTGTTGACACCTGCTCTACACCCCTTGCTCGTTTCGCTGTAGGCAAAAACACTTTTGCACAAAGTGCCCTTTCTTTTCACAATTTCAAGGATATATTATTTTTCAATCTTCTTTTGTACACTTCAATGCCGATCCGGAGGTATTTCTAAAATTTTCTATGCTTCAATGGATGTGTTCTTTGGATCGGCGTTCAATTTTTCATCCGATGGTAAAGACGATGAAAAATGAATTTTACCACTTTGGGGGATTTGAATTTGGGGCGTCTTCATAGAGTTGCGGTTTGGACCCTACTAGTTAGTTATGAGTCTTATGACATACATTTTCATGACATTCAATTTTTCATCGTCTGAATTTTCAGACTGTAGTGCTGATGAAGAGCAGCTCGCATCGAAGTCCAACTCTAGATCATCATCCAGAGTAGAGTCGTCCACAAAGGGCTGGTCCTCAACCTGCATCTGTGGTCATATACAAAAAGCCGGTTGCTGCCTCCAAACCGCTTGCGAGAAAAAGTTCTCTTGATAATCGATGTATAAAAACGTTGTCTAATGGGTTGAGCTGGACTACTGCTTCCATAAGGGATCGCCAGTCTGATAATCTTGGAGTCTTTGGCCGGTTAATGTAATCTACACGGACCGTACTACGAACAATATGCAAACGCACAACACAGTGTTGTTCATCTCAAGGTCTGGAGTGATAAAGAGTTTTACAAATTCTTGCTCCAAGACCTTTATCGTGGCCATCAGCTACTTACCTTGCATAGCTTGGATCTTTTATTCGGTCTTCGAGGCAACATTTTAATTTTTAAACTACTTAATTAGTAATTGCTCTAGGGAAGTTATAAAGGTGGTTTTTAACCAATTTGCCAAGTCAAGTCTGGTGTGACATGCCTCCACAACCTTAAACCACCAGTACTTGACCCAACTATCAGCCGCGACGCTTTCCCACTAACGCGCCCTGCCTTTAGGGCTTCGGGGTACCAGACCTCAATATGGCTGGAAGCGCCAGCCAAAACAATTTTGAGACGGTACCCCGGCGCTTCGGCGAAAATCGGTGCGCAGGGGCATTCCAGGCTCGACATCGATAGCTGGGCAAAATACTAGTGGTGTAACTTCTGTAAATCTCAGCACAAAGGGCTCCACATTGATGCCCATGATTAGCGCTTGATCAGATTGCGATGTTTGGGTCACCATGAAATACGCCCTTATTTGAGCAACCCAGGAGACAACATCATCTTTCCAGTCATACTGAGGGGGAAACTGTGTCACCAATTTGTCTACTTGTGAAGTGTTGTAGGTATGACCAATAACCGTTGATCTCTCACTTGGGCCTGCAACAATTGCGGAGAAGGGAGATACTATGCCACTCATTTGTCTACTTATGAAGTGTTGTAGGTAGTAGTTAAGAGATGACAACAAGTGCTAGACCGTACTCGGAGCGCATCGTGAGACCAAAGAGACATACGACATCATCGTAGGCAAAAACGAACACATGACATGACAAAAAGAAAGAAGGAAAGAAAGTCGATACGAAAACTTCGAGCGCATGCGCACTTTAAAAATTCAACGCAATAGCACATAGTCTCGCGATAAGACCCGACCGGTTTCTACCAATCACCAGTCTGGCGTCTTCGGGGGTCGACTTGGCTGGAATGACAAAGATGACCTACTAAATAAACTTATACCGAATGCCGAATACGACCGAACCGTAACAATTGAAACCCAAGCACCAAATCTACGAAGTTAACTCCAACCCTTTGGGTGGTACCAAGCAAAAAAGCAAAAAAATGAGGTATTGCCACACCAGCCACCGAACACCAAATATCTGGTCCGCGCACCTGGCAGACCCTTGGTTGTATTTCTACCGTGAAATAATCACCACGCAAATTCGACACTTTTACTTTTTCCATTTTTGCTGCTATGCCATGTGCCGGCTAACAGAAAAGTACTGCATCTTCCGTGATTTTGTTGAGCTGAGAAGGATTTTCGAAAAAATATGAAGAAATTCATACCATTTTCATAATCCATAAATTTCATTGTGATCTTTCTAGGAAAAATATCACAAAAAAAAATTGAAAATCGTTTTGGCTGCAAAATGCATTACGGCGACAATTTGACTGATTTTCCATTTCTGCCATTCAATCGGTTTTCCACACTCTGCAAGGTTAGGGTTTGAACACACAAATGCATCCTGACGTGCCATCTGCCTGACACAGGATACACTTAAAAAAAAAAAAAAAAACAGTTCCCAAAATCACACAGGGACCCAATCTACCTCAACAGTTATCTCATCAGGCAGTTAAGTTTCTCAAATCTGTGCATGGGTTCAAACCCAGTTACAACAGTTACCAGCAAGCTTCAAAATATTAATATTAGTGTGTCTGTGTGTGTGGGTGGATAGGCAGGCAGACAAGGAAGCAAGCAAGCAAGCATGGGGCTGCCCTTTTCTCTTTTACAGCGGGAAAACAAAAATCTTGCCGCACCAAACTGTCCACAATCTCTTTTATGTCAAATATCATTCCTCTGGCCCCATGCTGCAGCACAACAATGTGCACTCTGCGACCTTCTCCTTTGCACTGCTACAGGCACTGTTATACTTGGTCCTAGTCGCCATCGTCTCTGTCACAATCACTACACTAACATGGTTTCTGGATCTATGCTTAGAGGACTGCCCCTCCATTCCTGACTGCAGGCACCCTCCACATCTGCCCTCCAGCTTTTCAAGCATATCTGTGATCTTCTCATTTCTGCCATAGCTTTCTTTCCTGGGACTGAGCTACTTTTCCTCCGAAAACAGACTTTTCGCTGCCTCAATCCTTTGTTGTTTTATACGTAACCGAGTGTCAGTTGCATCTTGTAATGAGCAGTCTCAGCTTGTCCCATGCAGCCTCAGCTCTGATCTAAGATAGTCTGCCATGTGCTCTTTCGCTTGCAAAAACCTGAAGGTGTGTTGTTGGCGTTCGAATGAGCATCGGGCTGTCCATGCGATCGTCAGCATTTCCAGTCGGCTGATGTTAAACCGATTCCTGTCATATGGGGGCCATCTGACCGGGACGTCCTCCGCGTTGCCCTACATCGCACCGGCACGGCAACGATTTGCCAGTCAGGACAGTCCGCCAGGCCGCGTCCCACCACCTCCAGGTCTGAGTAGCCATGGGACACACCAGGAGACAGTGTTCCAAGGTGGCCCGCGCTGGAGGGGATGAGTTGTTGCAATAGCTGCAGATGGGAGAAAGGAGGCCTTTTTGTTTGAGGCCTGTCCCATAACTGTCAGACACAACTGGTTGAGGTACAGCTGCGCAAAAGCAGGTATATATGGCAACGGCCACCGGTAGGCAAGTGCTGGTGGGTCTGACAATGTACATAGCATTCAGCTCTGCATGGAAAGGAACAGGATTGTCTGCAATGACACACAAACCCACACACACACACACATTCAGCTCTGGCGGTGGGTACTCTCTCTCTCTCTCTCTCTCTCTCTCTCTCTCTCTCTCTCTCTCTCTCTCTCTCTCTCTCTCTCTCTCTCTCTCTC